GTGTGTGTCACACACACACACACACACACACACACACACACACACACACACACACACACAAAATAATATAATAGAATCCTTATTTACTTCCTTACTTTCATTAGTATTTTTCTTTCCCATAATAGAAAAATGTTATTACAGGTACTTGAAGTTACCATGGAATTATTAAAATTGTTTCTAAATATTAGTCTAATATTCGTCGTAAAAGCTGCTACAGATAATGATTCAATGAATAATTTGTATTCAGAAATTTGTATGCATTCTACAAATAGACAATTAATTAAACCATTTGATAACCACATTGAGTTGATGTTGTTTATTGAAAATTTTATCAATGTTATATCGCCTGATACATATAAATCGTATAAATCATATATCGATGAACAACAAGCAAAAAACAATTCTGTTTTTTATGGTATATTTACGTCACGTTTTGGAGTTTCTAATAAAACAAACATAATACGTTTGAATGTATTAAATTTGAAAATAGATGAAACAAAGACGAAAGTTATCAGTCTTACAAATTTTAAAGTAATAGAACCGAAGACATATACATACGATAATAAAACGCAGACAGTTGTTATTACCTTTGTTGATGACTTCTTACCATTGAACATTTATCGTTTGAAAATAAATTTTATAGGAACTATGATCCATACAAATAAACATTGGAGACGCAATTTAAATAAAGTGTAAGTAGAATATTTAATATAATAAATTTAAATATGTTAAAGGTTTAAACATTATTATAAAATGCTAATTATTTTACTTTCTTTTCATTAATTCATACATTTGATTTCAATTTAGACAATAACTTAACTAAATGTAATAGATTGTAATATAAAACTCTTAAAATGTAAAAATATTACAATCTATTGTAACATTATATTTATAGAAAGTATAATGCAATAACATTATATAATAAAAAATACGCTACGTTGTACTAAATACTATTTTTGAAGTTTTATAAATCATATTTCAATTTTCTTTAATATTTAAATGCTGTATGATAATGATTAAAATTTAAAAATTTATTATTAATATGTCACAGATGGTTGATCACACCCGGTTTCTATGGAACAGAGACTCGTCAAATGTTTCCGTACTGGGACAAACTGGATATTAAAAGTAACTTTAGTATCACTATATGGTACCATGGAAATTATAAAGCCATATCAAATACAGAAATTAAAGTTATTTATGAAGAGAATGACAAAAAAATAATAGATTTTAACACAGTTGTTAATATATCCTCTCATCTCGTCGCTGTTGTATTGGTCAATCTTCATAATATTACGGACGAATTCTATGATGCCGATGAAAATCAAATCTTCAATATATGGGGCAGAAGAAAAATAGTACCCTTTCTTGAAACAATGAGCTCAGTGATTATAGATTCCATAAACAATTTGCGAAACAGCTTATCTAAGACGCAACTTTCGCCAAACATGAACTTTGTTATAATCCCAGGTTTCCTAGATGAAAATGTGGAAAGTCGGGGACTCATTCTTTACAAGTATTGTATATAAACTATATAACTATATAAACATCTACAATATTAAACATTATAGAAATAATAATAATATATACAAATAATAATAATAATAATAATAATAATAATAATATATAATAATAACTAAAGATATTTAAAGAATTTAAGTTTAAAGCATCAACATTAAACTCGATATTTCTAATTTGATATTTCTATTTTCTATTTTCTATTTTCTATTTTCTAATACAAACATTTAACTAAACTATTTTACTGTTTCTTAGTGAGGCAGATGTTGTCTACGATGATGAGTTATATTCCTTTGCACACAATATAACTATGGCATGCACAGTAGCACGAAAAATAGCACATCAATTCTTTGGCAATACGATCGGACGAGCATGGGGATCTGATTTATGGATAAATGAGGGTATTGCTACATTTTTGGCAATGAAGATTGTCAATGAGGTTGTTTTCTTACATTTTTAATTACAGTTTATGACAATCTTATTAAAAGAATTGAATTTTGATATTCCAAAAATATAAAGAATGATTATAAATTATTTGTATCTCTTACAGTAAATATTAATAGTTAAGATGCTTTAAATTTTATATTGTGTGAAATATAAAAAAATATTAAAATTCATGTATGTTTAATGTAAGCTATAAGAGCATAATATATGAGCATTTCTCCATATGATTTAAAGATTAAATTACATTTCATTTTAATTTTATTTATTAGATAATTTAATTATATTTCTGAATTATATTAGTAAATAGCAAGAAAAATTATATAAAAATATTATTAATTATATTATATTAAAAAAATATTATTTTTAGATATTACCCGATTCGAAAATTTTGGATCTATTCGTAGTACAATTTCAACACGAAGCTCTTCGTTTGAATGATTATTATGATATGCCTCTGGTATCAAAAGTCAATGAATCATCTGAAATTAATTCTATTTTCCCTTTTACTTATTATGTTAAAGGTAAGGCTAAATACATATAGTTAAAAAGTTATTTGCAAAATATTAATAAATATTAATATTGTAACAATATGTTACAACTTATTACGTCCGTTGTAAAATTTATTATGTTGAGAAATTTATAAAAACCTTAAATAGTTTATTTTATTCAATCATTTAATTATTTTATATGGTATTAATTGTTCTAGCACCTGTCTTTATACGCATGTTATCACAAATAATTTCAAAAAACGTGTTTATGTTAGGTCTCAGTCGTTACATAAGCCTCTAGTAAGTAATTATTTTAATATATAATTATATAATATATAAGAAGAAGATATCATAACAATAGATTAAAAATTAAATTAATATATGAAATATATAAAATCATTAATATTATATTTTTGATGCAGTTTGTTATATTACATTTAATATAAATTTTTATAAATTTTTAGTCAGGATAAATCTTATATATATACATCGAATTGTGCTTTTGATGAATTTCTCAATACTATACAACAAATCCAAAAAACTATGTATAAAAATCGACCAACTGATTATAAAACAAAGTTGGACAGTTGGTTAACGCAGAAACGTTATCCCGTGCTACACGTGACGCAATCTTATATAAACAACACAATAGAATTGCAAAAAGATGTAAATGAATCGTATCCAAAAAATTTATGGATACCTGTAACCTATATTACACAGAATTCTCATGATTATAACAAGCCTCTGCCTAAACATTGGCTAACTCCACATGAACCAATTTTATATGAAACTGATATTGAAAGTAAACATTGGATTGTTGTTAACGTACAACAAGCTGGTAAATATAAACCACTATTTATACATTTAATGTACTTCTATATTAATCAAAAAAGATTTTGTATAATATTGTGCACAATTAATTGTTTATTATATCCCTAAGGATTCTATCGTGTTAAATATGACACTAAATCATGGGAAAATATTTTGAAATATCTTCACTCATCTCAATTTTATAACATACATCATCTTAATCGTGCTCAGCTCATAGATGATGCATATTATTTTCTTTCAAAAGGCGAACTTGACTTTAACTTCTTTAAAAAACTCACGTTCTATCTAACAAATGATAATAATTACATATCATGGTATCCTCTAATTAAAATTATGGAGCAGTTATCAGGTTTTTTTCCATTTCCAGAAAGTACTGAAGTCAAAGTAAGTAGTAATACATTTTATTAATAAAAAATGTGCTGAATTATTATGTTCGAATATCAGTTTAATATTAAAAGTTAACAAAAAGTTCTATAAAAATAAAACATGTAAATAGAACTGTTTAATTGTATTTGCATTAATTGCATTATTTTATTTAAATCAAATGTGGAAATTTAAAAATGAAAAATTATTAAATTCCCAATATGTTATATTCTACAAATTATTTCAAAACTATATTTTTTTTTATGTGAAAGTATCATTTACTAGAGAGTATTATTTACTACATAATTTGTGTTACAAGTTAATACTGTAAATCTGATTTTTAAATTAGAATAATTTTTTATAAATTCATCAACTTTTGTAATAAATCTTTACAGCACGATTTAAAAATTTATACAAATTTTTCTAAATATAGAAAGAATTGTGAAATTATTTTATTAAGAAAATATGTCAAATAAAATTTGAAAATATTGCAAAAGATAAAAATTTTGAAAGGTTAACATTTTATAAAAAGAAATTAAGGAATTTCAAGAACATATATTATATATTTTTAATTAATATAATATAAAGAATTATAAAGAATTAAAATATAAACATGTCTTACGCGAACATGTAATCTTTAATATAAGATTATATATCACATATTTTTTATAAATAATTTTTACAAATTATTTGTCTGTTTTTAGAAGCATTTTCGCACAATCCTTAAAGATCTTCTGAAATTCATTGGGTATGTAGAATCGGATGCAGATTTTGATGTTACCATGAATTTAAGACAAGAAGCTGCAAAATGGGAATGCATACTCGGTTCTTTTACATGTAAAATTGTTGCTACTGTACAATTATTTAGTGATCTCGATGCAAAACATAATTTTGTCTCTGAACATGATAGGTAACATTTCATATTATTACAATTTTTCTAATAATGCTAAATGTTGAAGTAAACAAATTGTCAAAATAAAAGACAATAAAAGTTATCTTTTAACTTCTAAATGTTTCAGAATTTGGCCTTGGTGGAAGGAATGGACTTACTGTAATGGATTAAAAAGGGCAAACTATACTATTTGGATAGACGTTTTTAATTTAGCAGAACCTGAAAAGGAAATGGAAAGGATTTTGGACTTTTTAGCGTGCTCCGAAAAGTATAATATTATTACTGATTATATAAACAGATTGAAACATTTGAATAAAAGAAAATATATTATTGCTTTTCATTCTATTATTGCAAGACAATCAAAAAATAATGACGTTCTCGATTACATATTGAAAAATTTTGTTCGATTAATACGCAGGTAACAATATCTTTTTCAAATATGTATTAATTAAATTCGTAAAATTTGCTTTGTTTTATTACTCCCAAAATTTTATTGTTACAGAAAGATCAATAAGATTGCAATAATTGCGAACATTATTAATTATGTGTATTCTAAAGAACAACTTGACAAGGTAAATTTTATATTTCTCATATGTTACAAGAATAAATTATGTAATTATGATATCTTATTTGTGCATATGAATTTCAGATAAGTAACTTTGTGAATAATTCTGGTTTTTTTTATGATACTTCGTATATTAATCAAAAGATAAAAACACGATTATCTGAAATCAACAAACAAGTTGACTATTTCAAAAGATTTTTATAAACCTCGAAACGCAGCGTCAAATAATATTATATATATATATATTTAAATATAATAATATTTTAATATTTCATTATAAATAAATTTTTATTTATTTTTAATTAAAATGCAAGATCTATTAATAATTTCCTTTTATTGTCAGATGCCCATAAGTTCATAGTTCTTGATGTACAAAATAGAAAACTATCTAAATGCAGAACATATTTCATTTGATTTTTTAATACATAGAAATACTAATATCAATCAATCAATATCGATAACTTTTTATATTTTTTAACGAATATTGATGAATACGAGATTTCTCATTTTAATTAAAATTGATTATCTCGAATTCTAGAAAAATTATATAAATATTTTTAGAATTTTAAATAGCATTATCAATTATGGATATAAATAAATAAATGTTACAAAAACATTACATACTTAAAAATAATTAAA